ACCCTCACTCAGATATCAAGCAAATGCAGAAAAATCCAGCTACACTAATAGCAGAGTAATATGTTCATTTGATTTTTTTTTTTACTTCATTTATATACCACATATTTCTAGTCTACAAGGTGGCTTCATGCAATTGGCTGAATCCAACAAATCAAACTCAGTAGCGAGAATAAAACCACCCAGAATAAGAGGGTATCATAAAACATTATAATATCACAAGCTATCACAAAAATCCACATATCAAAAAAATACATTGAAGAACAATCAAAATAAACATCTCCTATGTGGAATGAATGCTCAACAGCAACTGAAAGGACGAGAACAAAGTCATTGTGGGAGAGACCTCTGGACAGCAGGACTTATTTATGATTTGGACGTGAAAAAGCCTTGTTTTATAGCATGAAACACAACTTCATCCTCGCTTATTATTGACTGTTTTCAGGAGGTCTGTCCCTCTAGGGCAGTGATGGCTAACCTTTTCTGGACCCTAAGCGCAAGCCCAAACCTCCCAAATGCAATGTTTATGCAGCCGCCACACATGCGTGCCCCGTGCATGCTTGGCAGAAACCCAAGAGACCAGCTGGTTGGTGGGAGGCGCGCACGCATGCGTGGCAGAGCAGAACTAGGACGATGGCTCATGTGCTCACAGAGGCCATAGGTTCGCCATCACGGCTCAAGGACAGTGTTTCCCAATCTCAGCAACTTTAAGGTGTGTGCACTTATTACTAGCTAGCATGAGAGTCCACAAATCTTAAAAGTTGCTGAGGTTGGGAAACATTGCCCTAGGGGTGTGATGATGAACCTATGTCATGTGTGCCAGAAGTGGCACACAAGGCCAAGTCACCTGGCACGCATGGCGTTGCCCGTTCTGGGTTTCTGGTGCGCATGTGTGCATGACGATCAGCTGGCCTTTGTGTGTGTGGCATTTGTGCCAGCCAGCTGATTGTCGCATGCATGTACGTGCCGGAAACCGGAATTCATTTTCCAGCACACGCATGCCCCCTGGGCAGCTCCTCTTCCGGGTTGCGAGCCCACTAAGAGCACATGCGTGCTCCCTTTTCAGCACACGATGCTAAAAAGGTTCGCCCTAGGATTTGACAGACAGAATGGCAGTGGGGAGAATGGGAAAGGCACAAAGTGCTTTTGCATGCTGTGCAACAGGAAGGAAATTAAAATAATTAAGTCCTTGTTTCTGACACTGATGTGTTGTAGGTATGAAATGAAATGATGATTTCTTGTATTCATCAACACTTCAAAATATTTAATCTACGCAGCAAATCTTAATTTAAAAAAAACCATTTTTAGCTGCTATCCCAACCTGTTGTTGCATTAGACAAACATGATTTTTTTAACTGCAAGAATTATGAAAAGATCAATAGAATAAAGTAGTATTTAAGAACACATTCATGATATGGGTCTGTAACAACACTATCAACTTCACCTGTCTGGCAAGTAACAACTATTTAAAACTAATCCTTCGTATGACATATATCATAGCATAATGAAACAGCAAATTGTAATATTTAAGAATTAACACCTATTCCTACTTACACCATGAACAGTGTATCAGAGGAGGGGAGCCTTCATGCCAGAAATGACCCCTTATGCCGACTGTGACCAGCATTGTTCTCTCACAGCATATGACAAAAACCTCTGGCAACTCCAGTTTTCAAACAGAATTGTTGTTTGGGTTAATAATGAAATTTGCCGGATAAGAACAGTCCCCAGACTTCAGAGAATTATCTCCCCCCCCACCTTTAACAAGTGGACCCTTTTATCTTGTCTGCTAAAAAGGCAGATTATGATGATATGTTTGGAAAAGAGGAAGCATAGATCTACTCCCATCAATTCTGTGGCAGCAAACTCTTATCCTCTGGAGCCCAGATTCTTGCAAAATGCCACTGTACAATGTCAAATATAGTGTTGATCTGCCTGAAGGATGGAATTAACAACAATTTACAGAAAAGCTTTAACTACCATTAGTGTTTCTACCTTTTTTATTCTTGAGAAGAAGGATCGTTGCCTACTTGCAGCCTGTGATTTCTAGCTCCCAAACTGTTATTAGTGGGGATTACTACATTCTTTCCCTCCTTTCTGAACTTCTGGAAAGGTTGCAGAAAGTATTCATTGTTACCAAACTAGACCACCGAGAGGATATGATCCACATGAAAAAGAGTATGAACATTGAACTCCCTTTGATTCTTGTTATGGAAAGTAATGCCATAGGGGATTGGTATGCTGCCCCTAGTATTCAGGTGCTTTATGAACTATAGTTTTTTAAACTAAATTTAGCTATATACTTTTCATCGACAGAAATCTGATATTAGGCAATTGCAGATAAGAAGCTGAACACTGATGCAATTCAAAATGGTATCCAATTTGCCAAGAGGTAAGAAGTGGAATTAAACTGCAGGTGATCTTGCTGATTTCATAGCACAACTATCCTATCATGCCTTGCTCTATGTAGTTAATACTTGTAAGTAGGTGAGGGGGTGGGTCTTGACGTCGCAACAACACGACATGCAATCTTGGGTCTCCAGGATTGTTGTCGATATCTGTTTCTGGATGGTCCTTATGGACCTAAACTGTTCTGAAGGAACAGTGATA